ACAAACTGCCGGTTTAAGATGGAGACGACGTCAGGCGCAGCCGGACCGCAGAGCCCGGCTCTTGTTAGAGGACAGAAATGCTTTACCGGCGTCATAAAAATTTATGCAGCAAATTCCATTTGGAAAAAGCCCCCCCGGGAGGAGCAACGCACGTTCTTCTGAGCACAATGTTCCTGCAACCAGCCGAGTCTGTGAACGCAGAGAGGAGGAGATGCGCTCATAATGAGGAGGAGGAGGAGGAGGATGCTCTCAAGGAGAGATTTGGGCTGCAAGGAGCCAGGGACATAAAACAGCAAAGTAACTACAGCCAGCAATGTATTGTTAGGCCGCGCGTAGTTAACATCGGACTCCCAGCCCCCCCACCACCTATCCCCGCACCGCACAGACACAGAGAATATTCCTCTGCTGGCTGGGAAAACAAAACGTGTGTCATCTTTACAGTTGTGTGCAAAAGTTTGGGAACCCCTGACCTTTTTTTTTGTTGATATTCTAATAAAAAAAATAGAGAATCTTTGTGAACGTTCAATCTGCGCAAATGGATGCAAAAACAAAAAGAACGTTCTTTGTATATTTTCTTTCCTAATCGAATGTAAATTTTGAGGACGTCAAGTGTGACGAAACGCGTCGGGGCGGGCCTATCCAAGTTGATACCACGTCATACCAGGAAGCAGCAGAGGACTGAGACACTTGTATTTTACCGGCCGGATCTTTTGTTTTAAACTGTGAGTCACTTATGTTTTTATTAATAAACGTTTATATATACTGCACCATGAAGAGATTTCCTTTTTAATTATATAAATCGCATTGGACGTAACATTACTGAAAGTAACATTCGGGATGTGGACCCGCTGATTCATCATCCCCGCTATACCATTCCAGCTGAGGGGTGAGTGCGCACCCCGAAGGGGGACACTTTGGAGACACATATACACGTCGGTGTGGGAGAATTCATTCTATTCTAGTTTATTGGATCCACTTGAAAACTTTTCTGCACAGAACGTTAACCATTTTTCTACGAGAAGCACTATTATGAATTGGTTTTAAAATTGGTTGTTATTTGTATATTCACTCAAGGACTATAATTATTTATATTTTTATATATATTATTTTTTTATCATCACAGTGTGAACACATCATCTTAATCTATCTTTGGATACTCACGGTATATAATGGTGTATAAGATTATTTAATATTGCGTGATATTTATTTAAAATATTTAAAATATTTTAAAATATTTTTACCTTATATATCCCGGAAGAGGAATTACACCACCACAGTGTGAATATATCATTTTAACCTATATTTTTGGATATTCACTGTATATTAAGGTTTATAAGATTATTTATGATTGTGTGATATTTATTTAAAATATTTTTACTTTTTTATACCCCGAAAGGGGGATTACATTTTGCTTAGTATAGCGCTGCACACTCACTTTTTTCACAGTTTCTACAAACCATAGCGCAGCAGCTTTTATATTTCACTCCTTCCATAAGCGCAGATTTTACATTATTTCCAATACAACAACATGGCCACTAGATGGAGCCGAGGAGCATAGAAAACAAATACTTATTTCCTATGCTCCTCAGCTCCCCTGACAGTCATCATCCTGGATCCCCCCCCCCAATCTACATGCTGGACTGAGATGCTGGGTCAGAGATGACACAGTTATGTAAATTCTGGTGTCTGTGCAGCTCTTGGCTGTGCTTCCAGATGTCCGACACAGATCAGACCCTGCTGCAGCCCTCGCATTGTGACCTGCTTCAAAGTTACAATGTTGCAGACTGATCACTGGGGAAGGGGGGGTTGAAGAAATGCTTCATCCTGCATGCAGCAGACTGATCACTGGGGGAAGGAAGGCGGAGGAAATGCTCCCTCCTGCATGCAGCAGACTGATCACTGGGGGAGGGGAGACTGAGGAAATGCTCCCTCCTGCATGCAGCAGACTGATCAGTGGGGGAGGGGAGACTGAGGAAATGCTCCCTCCTGCCTACAGCATACTGATCACTGGGGGAGGGGAGACTAAGGAAATGCTTCCTCCTGCATGCAGCAGACTGATCACTGGGGGAGGGGAGACTGAGGAAATGCTCCCTCCTGAGAAGATTAAGGCCTATGTAGCATAAGCACCAAACCCAGCTTTATACTCAATGGAGGTGCCGGGTGAACACGGCACGCACAGCCAAGAAACTGTACCCTGGATCAGGCTACGGGCCACAAAGCCAGGTACAGACACCGCATATAAAATTGTATTTAAGAACACAGTTCTCCTTTTTAGATTTCTGTTTTGAGAGAACAATGGAAGCCGCCTTACGGACTTCCTTCTGAAAACACCAAGTGACCGGCTAAGCTTCACCTGCCTGGAACAAGTATGCAAATCGGGGGGAGCCAGAGAAAAGTCCTCATCTGCATATTGTGCCGGGTCAGTGACTCAAATAGGGTCACCATCACAGCCAAGCAAGCAGCATTCTCAGAGGGATCTCTGTGTTCCTCCCGTGACAGTCACAGTGCTAACTTATCACCTAGAAAGTCAATTAAAAAGAGAATTGAACTGGCATGGCCAAACTATGGAAACCTACATGAGCTGGCCGGACATCCCCATGGTCATTCATATGGAGTCGGCCACCTTTTGTGAATAGAACATCCTCCACTCTTCAGGGAAGACTTTCCACAAGATTTTGGAGGGTGTCTGAGGGAATTTGTGCCCATTTGTGAGGTCAGGTACTGATGTCGGGTGAGAAGAACCGACTCCCAAAAGTGTTCAGTAGGGTTGAGGTCAGGGCTTTGTGCAGGACACTCGAGTTCCTCCACCACACTGGTCACACCATGTCTTTATGGAGCTGGCTTTGTACACGGGACAGTCATGGTCCCAAAGCAGAAGTGACGTTCGGGCGCCACACGGTTTTCTAGTCAGAGCCGTGTGAACCTCCATGGGCGCAACCATCCTGGGGACGACGCAGTTACCGGTACAGACCCTCACCAGGTACTGAAAGGAAAAGGGAGCCCAGGTCACCTCCTTGCTGTCAGCAAGCAGAGTGCGCCAGGAGCCAGATAACCACCATGCTGGACAACTCATTAGAGGGCGAGCTCCAGAGAAAAAAGTGATATGTCTCTTCCGGACGGAGGAACCACAATAACTGAGAATGTGATCTGGTGGGATCCCTTTTGAATTCTATCGGGTGGCGGAGCCTCACACTCCCATGGACTGTCCTGGAAGATGATTGGGGAAAAGGGCCTTCACCAGGTACTGATGGTGGATGAGAAGACCTGACTCCCATTCAGTGTTCTAGTTCATCCCAAAGGTCTTCAGTAGGGTTGAGGTCAGGGTTCTGTGCAGGACACTTGAGTTCCTCCACACCAAACTGGTCACACCATGTCTTTATGAAGCTGGCTACACACGGGACAGTCATGGTGGGACAGAAAAGGGTCTTCACCAAACTGTGACCACAAGGCTAGAAGAGCACAATTGTCTACAATGTCTTTGTATGATGGAGTATGAACAGTATCCATCAATGGAAACCTCTCAACTCAAGCACTTGGGGGGGGTCCACATACGTTCACCCATATAATAGGTGCGATGGTCCACAAACCTTTATATTTTCACAGCCTAAAGATTGAACAAAGTTTGCCATAAATGTCATTTTACACATCATCACTTTTAAGGTCTTCTACAGCCAACACAGCCGTGGACTGCGGCACGAATCCGCCAACTCTACATATCATAAGGAAGGAAACAAAGCCGGATGAAATGTTTTATATTATTCACAGCTGCAAATATTTCTACCCAACATTTCCTAACAGACCGTTCACCCTCCAACCAGCCCCCCTCCATCCCCGAAAACTCTACAGCTGGAGGCTCATCCACTGCCCCATCTAGTGGCCGAGGGCAGGAAGAGCAGCCAGAAGTGTGTAGATGGTAAGCAGGCTTCAGACGGCCCGCGGCAGACTTTATTCCAATGATTGACTTTCCGTCTTTGGCGCCGAAGTGATAAACGATTCCGTAGTGAGACAAATTTCGCCTTTCCTGTAACCGTATCGATGGAGGAGCTTCAGTGGAGAGTCGGGAAAGACAAAATGCTCCTCTTCATTGTGAAGCGCTTGATGATCTTTTTTGCCTTTCTGTGCCAATCCGTTCATTGATTTTTTTTTTCGGAACAAACTCTGAATCTGCACAATTATTAAAGGGTCAGTCCGCCTGTCACCGAGAATACGGCATTGGATAGATGCCAGCAAGCTGGGAAATTCCCTCTGCACTCTGCAGGGGGTTACCTCTACACTCGAGCTCGGGGATGCTCACTGTGGGTGGAGTCTAATTTTATATAAATATTTATTAAAACTGAACTCCAGGAAAGCCGCTAAATACACATTTATGGCCGGGATTGTTCCTGCCAATGGATATATACATTTATCTTTCAAGTCCTGAGATTTCCAGCCCCGTTGGGATGTTGCAGCTCCGTTAGGATGTTCCAGCTCCGTCGGGATGTTGCAGCCCCGTCGGGATGTTCCTGCTCCGTCGGGATGTTGCCGCTCCGTCGGGATGTTGCCGCTCCGTCGGGATGTTGCCGCTCCGTCGGGATGTTGCCGCTCCGTCGGGATGTT